ATCAGCCAGCCAGTCAGCCAGCCAACCACCCACCCACCCACCCACCCAACCAATAAGAACAAAAGCGAGCACATTTGCTATTGTGAAAACAATCACTGCCATGATTTTGTTTCAAAATAGCCAAGTGAACCACAAATTGAACTTCAATCATATTTAGAAAAATGTTAAGGGTCCCCAAACACGGTCAAAACCCATCATCAGTCGGAGAGGCACCCAAGGCTGATGAAAAAAGCCTTCAATCTGGAATAAAATGTACTAGGTTAGCCTCCGGCTCAACTGCTTCTTGGCTCTGTGAGTTTGAGCAAATGACCTTGCTTCTCTGAGCTGCTCTCTCATCTTTAAAGTGCGATGTTTGGACCAAGTGATCTCTGGTCCCTTCGTCAAAATGCAGAGCCTGGTCCCTGGACGATGGCAGGTAACATGAAACAAGCAAGCAGATACGAGGACAGTTAGAACCACAGGACCACAGAGATTGGACATGTCCTCTCCAGCATCTCGCCATTGACCTCCTGTCCACTGCCATGAGCCCTAGTCTCCAGCCATTCCAGAACGTTCTCCAGTTTCCCCATGGACTGTCAGACTTCTTGGATTTTGCACCTGCTGTCCTACTGTTCTCTTTGTCTGAAGTGCCCTCTTTTCCCTTCATTCACAAACATTTAAAAAGTGTCTGGGGCTTCCCTGGTGGCTAGGTGGTTGAGAGTCCGCCTGCCGATGCAGGGGACACGAGTTCGTGCCCCGGTCCGGGAAGATCACACATGCCGCGGAGTGGCTGGGCCCATGAGCCATGGTCGCTGAGCCTGCGCGTCTGGAGCCTGTGCTCCGCAACGGGAGAGGCCACAACAGTGAGAGGCCCGCGTACCGAAAAAAAAAAAAAAAGTGTCTGATACTCTGTTGTAGTTACCAAGCTACCGGGCCCTTCTTTGGCTCTGGAACTCCTGCTTACCCACCAAGGCCCAATCCAAATGGCACAACCTCCAGGGAGCTCTCCTGCTCACACCCCCTCCCATATTTCCACCTCTTATCCAGAGTGGCTTTCAACTTGGGGACTCTAGGTCTTACCTTCCTGTCCTGCCGACAGGCTGCTTTGGGGATGATGAGTCTGACAGAGCCCTCTGGGCCAGAGAGTTAGTATGTGATAAGGGACCCCAAGTGCACTCTCTCAGGTGCTCTGTGTGCACCCATGCCCTTCAGGAGGATGTCGCAGGCCGGTAGGCTGTTGTACATTGTGAGTTAAGCCAACTTGCATATTGGGGCTTTGGAAGTCAGCAGAAGGATCTGGCTTCAATGGGATGGCTACAGGGACCCCCTGGTGCAAGAATGGCTAGGACTCTTCATTTAACTTGGTCAGTATAAAAGTCTTCAAAGTTAAAAGGAAGCAAAGCAGGCTTTGACGGGCAAGGCCCTGACTTCCTATGCTTCTCTGATTTCTCTCATTACCTAACCCAGCCCCAGGCAAGCAGAACCCTGTCCCTTTCAGCATTAGCCTGAGGAATGTTTCCTTAATCCTCCCTCCCC